AGCCGTTAAAACTTCTTCCATAACTGTGAAACAAAGCCTTATTGGCTGCATCCTTACTGCAAGGAACCATTCAAATCATATACATTTTAGTAGAACTTAAAACTTACACATGGAGAGAGAGAGAGAGAGAGAGAGATTTATAACCTTGCTAGCACACTCTCTAGCATGCCATGGTGGAACGTTGAAAGGGACAATTCTTGTCCCACAGGTCGCTCCCCCATATACGCAATGTAAACCTGCATACGAAGGGCAGGAAAAGAAGAATAAATGAAAATTTCAAAAGGAATTCATACTTTTTTATATTACTATTCATTATCTCAAGTCCTTGAAAACTCTGTCACCTAGGCCGAGACACTTATAAAAAAGAATAACATGCATCATTTCTTCCAACGTTTCTAACAAGATCGAAGATTGTGGTGCCTATACCCCCACGTGATTGTTTATAAAGAGATTATTTAGCTTTTATACAAAGAGATCACAATCATTTTGGACCCTTAAATTTCAAAATCGGTAGTTATAAGAGTATCATTGAATTAGACACAAAGTTAAAATAATAATAATAATAATAATTTCTTGGATTTGTGACTACCCCTAAGCAATCCAATTTGGCATCTAATGAGTAGGAATGATTGTGAACTTTATGCACAAAAGATAAATGATCTATTTATAGACAATCCCTTAAAATTATAAAATTTAAATATAAGTCAATTTAGATAAGAAGATGCTTCTTATTTCCAATTTTCTTGATTTAAACACTTCCAGGCCCAGTCAGCCCCGCCTTATAAAACTATTGTGTGGCCCACGAAATGTGGCTTGAGGGCCGGGACTGGCTGGGCCAAGGCCAGCCCTCTCCTTCTTTCTTTTTTCTTTATTTATTTATTTATTTATTTTTCTTTTATCTATCCCGGTTAGACCACCCTCATAGTCCAAGGCTAAGTTTGCACCAAGTCTTTTTGGTTCAAGCAGACCTGAACTGGCCCTATGGGGAACAGGGGTGGCTTGGCTCGTTGCCAGCCCCACCTATAATCTTATCACATTTATCAAACATAGTTTGACGCTTACTCTCCTAGGCAAAAGAGCTACTTTAGAAAGATTTTTTCAATCAAAATTGTTGGGATTCTCTTTAAGATCCAGATGAGTTTTTTCGAAATAAAATGAATTTTGAGGTCCTACATGGTTGATTTAATTCCACAGAAATCAAATAATCTGTATCCAATCCTAGAATATATATGTTCAAGTACTTAGAGTATGATTTTTTTTTTTTTTTTTTAACATTCTTGCTAGTTTGAAGAAGTTTGTGTCCTCAAAATTTAGGGTCGCAAAAATACTCCCAAATAGGACTTTACCCAACAGAATGAATGGATGGGGTGCTTCCTCAAGAGCATATAATCTGTTGAGTATGATTATTTTATGCGAAAAAATAAGCGTCCATTAGGTTTTTTCTGTTGACCTAGAACTAGAAAATATGTGAGAGAGAGACATGTATTACCGGTTTTCCGATATAAAAAAGCGGATTAGCATAGCCCTTGATAGAGAAGAATGTAAAAAAAAACGCAAAGATGAGTCTGAATAGGGCCATTGTTAGTAAGAATTTGTTACCGATAACCCAAGAAGTGCCCATCTTAATATATACGTAGATTATTTTTAATGGTACAAGCCATTACAAAGAAATTAGGAAACAAATTCGATGAAAATTGCTTTGGACTTTTAAGTGGTGTGTGGTCATCGCAAACCCTTCCCTTGTCACACAAGATCATGTACATTATTGGCAAGTGTGAAACAAACAAATATTACAACAAATCGAGTGTGATAAATACAAAAAATAATACATACACACATACGCCACAAGAACATAAAAATTGCTGATATTCACCCTAAAGGGCTAGGTCTCCCGTCTTATCAGGTCAAAATTAATTATCAATAAAGATTTTAAGGTACATGCGTTTCTCTATCAGTAAAACCCTCGTCTTCTTTTTTAGACCTGCTCTCCCAAACAAACATATTCGAAAACACCCCCTCTTTCCTATTAATATACTACTATTAAAAAGAGAATATTGAAAAAAAATTAGACTTTGACTTTTTGAAAGAAAATTGTACTCCGGCTCATAATTATGGTGGCTCTTTCATTGTATATATAATGGTGATACAATGGTACAATATACATTTCTCTATCTTGTTACATGCAACATACAATTTCTTTATCTTGCTACATTCTCTCATAAATCTATTATAGCCTTTCTAAAGACTAAGATTTTCTAATTATATTTCTATTACTCCTCTCAAACTCAACTAGGGAGGCATCTGAAGTCTGAGTTTGAAGTAATGATCTCGAAAAACATTTTGTGGTGAAGGCTTGGTGAAGATATCTGATACTTGATTATGAAAGGAAACAAACCGAGTAATAAGTAATCCTAGAAGCACACATACATACGGACACAAGAGTGTTCAATCTTTAATGAAAGATTAACTCTGAAGTTCATGGTAGGGGATGCAAACAGCATTCGTTCACATATTAGCACCACGTTGTGTGAGACACAACTATTCACAGGAAACAAAAATAAATAAAATGCAATCTCACTTTTTACACACCGCCACCAGTAGTAGGATTTTGTAAAATGGAAAAAAAGTAATAATAATTTTTAGCTCATAAGTTATGCTCTCATAGAAGCAAAGTGTATGTCTACTCCCTCAATTATTATTTGGGAGTATTTTTTTAAACTAAAATTTTTAGAACCACCTAAGAACTAGATAATTTTTCTGGAAAGGAGAATATTGAATTTTAAATTTCCCAATGCAGATATCTTACCCTTTAAAAATTGGAAAGTTTTTATTCAATCTCGATACATTCAAGTGCATAGAGGAGTGCAATTAAAAAATTCTTTTTATTAAAATAAATATAGAGTTAAAACTACATATCCAAAATTTGGTCTTGAAAGTGACCTCATAGTTTTTACCACAGGGAGTAAACAGACAAGATATTAGGATATGTTTTTTTTATATTTTTTATCATTTTGGCAAAGATTGGAAATTTTTTGGCTATAAATACTTTTTTTTTACATTTTCCCATCTTTTTGTATTATTTCAAAAATACCCCCAGTCACATAAATAAAAAAAATTACTAGTTTTTTAACATACTTTTTTCATTATTTTATAATTTTTAACCTTTTTTTTACTACTACATTACTCAGCACTAATCGAGCCGAGTTACCCAGACTCGGCCCAAGTACTCGACTAGGTCAAGGACCAATTACGAGGTCCGAGTTACACTTTCTAACACTGGTTTAATGACGTCCAAACGGGACCTAGAGTTGTGTTCGGGTCCATGTCACTAAGACTGAAACGTTTGAATTCTGACATAGCATTCTGAAAATTTAAAACAAGGGAGAAATACCCAAACATTAATTTTAAATAATCAGAAAAACAAAATATGAAATATAAAGAAGAGTACTTGAAGTAATACATCATATGCATGGGAATTCGCTTATAATGGGCTGCCGCGAGAGCATTGTACACATTTATTTTCTCCGGTAAAAGACCTAGCTGGGAGTATTTTGATCTAAACCTTTGCAATCCACTTTAGAATCACCTGATGATTATGAAAAAATTGCATTTTGAGTATCTAAATACTTACATCTGTCCATCTCAAAATTTGACGGTCTGTATTCGTTTAGTTCAAACATGTATTTTTTTCAGACACAAATAGAATACTTATGACTGATCTGTTTTGCTTTTTCACCTTTTAAGGTTTTTCTCTAGGTAGATGAGGTTAAATCCCTAAATTGTAGGGTCTCTAAATGTACAGCTTTTACCTAAGGGACCCTCAGAAGCACTAAATCTTTTCAACAAGGGATGTGATGGCCATAATGGGGTTTTGGGGTAACTCACCACACCAAACTGCTTCCCTTAGTATAAAGAAAACATGCATTTTCTACAGTTTGGCCCATTTCCCCTAGAAGTATCAATTATAATAAGATAGGGTTACTTTCTTTTTGGGTAATTCAGTGGGGAAGATAGGCCCCTACCCATTTTTTAAATAGATTCGGAGTTAGCTTTTTAAAAAAAAAAATATTAATGGGGTGGTGTTAGTGGTGAGAATGAAAACCACAATGCTACCACCACGGCCCTAGCCCCTTTTCCAAAAAGAACGATTACATATCATCCCCAAACCACACACCTAATTATGTAGACTTAAAAGTAAAGAAAACAGTTTCACCACTTATTCTCAAACCAAACATGCCCTGAGTTGTCTATGGCAGCTTAAGAGCCAAGTTCAGCCCATCAATCTGGATCGGGAATCAGTCCCTACCAATCCAATTCTTTATTGGAACCATGAATCGTTTTGGCTTGGCTACGCTCACGTTTTTCTGTTAGGAAATTGTACAACTCTTAATCACTTAATCACCCAGTTCTCACATATTATTTTATTGTTTTTATTTTTATTTTTCTATTTTATATTTTTTGGAGGGATTATCAAATTGAAGAATTGGTACAATTTGTCGATCCCTATTGGCAATTCACTGAACCAGACCAAATTTCCAAAAGGCCGACTCACCTGGCCGATCCAATAGTTGAAACACTGTTTTAGACCATTATTCAATAGGGTTTGATGGAGATAGCTCCAAATTAACTTTGGAGATCCAAGGTTTAACTAACTTGTCCTCCTTTTTGGCGGTTAAGATTTACAAGTGGACTTCATGGCTATTTTCCGAATAGTGAAACCTAACTACAGCCTTATAAATTTGGCATTGTATATTATGAGACCATTTATCTTTGTTACAAGTACGTCACAATTGCTACTAGCCATTAGAAATCAAATTTGATGGCTTAGGGTGTGTCACAAAAGTTCAATGAATGTTTTTTTGAACTGACCCAATTTGAAATTTGACGGACAAAAGTGATTGTGACATTCTTGTATTAATAGGAAATAGATTTTTTGTATACTTTTCCTATAAATTTATGCAGCAATAGCAAGAAAAGGGCTACATCCTTTTCGTCGGATAAAACATAAATACTTTTATTGTTGATCTTCAATTACGAAGAAATAGCATTCCCTTGCCAAGATTCGAACATTGACTATTAGGCCCAAATTGTAACAACCATGATAGCATTATTAAAGAAACAAAATTGCAGATAAAAGACAAAGGCAGTGGAAATGAGACTATAGAATTTAGGAAGTCTTGGATCAAACTCATAAACCCAATGGCCTGTGTAATGGATCAGAACCTAAAGGAGTTGTAAATCGATGCTTTCCTCCTGCTTGTCCAAAAGTTGTCTGCTTTATCATTGTGTCCTTTGATTTAAGCTTGGAGAAAGGATTAGTTCTAAGGAAAGGTATGGAGTTGAAAACAATTAGGGGGCTTCTCACTTCATATAAACCTTCCATATCTCTCCAAGATATGGAACTTGAGATTATGGGGTGCTGAGAAATTACTCCTCCTTTTACCTTCACAACAAAAGACTTCGTCTCTCCCACTTCTGTAAAGGAAAGGGTGCTTGGCTCAACTGAGATTTGAAGCATGGATGGAGCAGTCACATATGAATTATAGGTTGAATTTGGATGCCCAACATTAGTAACTGTCCTAGTGAAGGATGCATTAATTAGCTTTCCATCTTCTAGGCTTAGTGCCATGGATGGATAATTCAAGTCCCGTACATTCCCTTGGCCATTGTTAGTGCAGGTTGTAGTGTTGTCTCCACTTATAAGCCTTACTAATGTCGAATTGTATCCTTGGTTGCAAAGGAAGTCGACGTAATCCTGCTCCCCGGCATCATAGACCAAACCAGGATCTTTCGCCCGAACTGGGTCGATATGGCCGGAACCATATGCAAATTCAGCATCTTCATTTCTCTTGGGACACATTATTGAAGCTAAAAAGAAATTAACACAAAAACAAGAAATTAGAAGGCTTCTTAGTTATAGAACTAGTATTCAGGCATGGGTCTGATCAGTTATGTTCACTATTGCAACACAGTATCCCAAGTTCGAATCCTACCTCTCAACATTCCAAAAAGAAAAAAAATAAATAAAAAATAAATAGTTATAGTAGTACTCAATAGACATTGAATCACAGAGGGCTAAGAGAAATGTTCACCAATACAGAATAGATTATATTAGGCCCATGGTCTCAAAGAACCTGTACATACCCGACTTGAACCTCAACAAAATCCACCTCGCTTCAAACTTCAATCAACATGTATTTGTACCTTATAGAGATAAGATGTTATGGTGACTTGGATATAATGCCTTATTTTTGTAGTTTTTCTGGTTTTCAAAAATCAGCGCACAACTTGAAATTGCGCCCTACGGCGCGACTTGAAGTTGTGCCCTATTTTTTATGGTTTTCAAAGACCCCCTTACAAGGTGCTACTGGGAACCGCAACTCATGGCACAACTTGAAGTTGCACCCCCTTTCGGGGCGCCACTTGGAATCGCGCCCCAAGGTGCAATTTGAAGTCGCTCCTTATTTCTTATGGCTTTCAAAAGAATCCCTTACAAGGCACTACTTAGTATCACACCCCATGGCACGAGTTGAAGTTACGCCCTCTTTCAGGGCGCCACTTAGAATCACGTCCCAAGGCGTGATTTAAAGTCGAGCCCTATTCTTTATGGCTTTCAAAAGAACCCATTTGAAGTCATGCCTTATTTGTGACAACACACCCAGAATGCGGCGCCACTTGAAATAGCACCCCAGGGCGCGACTTCAAATTGTGCCTTAGTTGGGCCAAACGATGGCGCGATTCGAAATAACGCCACGGCCAATCAGCTAGCCATTAGGATACATGTCATCATTTCCACCACCTACAACATATGTAGCGCCACTCTAGTGCCCACATTCTACATGCAGGCCAACATGTTCAAAATAGGGCACCAATTGAAATAGTGCCCCAGGGTGCGACTTCAAATTGTGCCCTATTTTGGGCCAAACGATATTGTGATTTGAAATAGCACCACGGCTAGTCAGCTACTTCAACTTGGTCCCGAACCTCTCGGCTCTCTTTCGAGGAGCTACAGACCCTACCTAAAAATTTTCACACACATAGAAATATGCAACACTTACATGAGCACACATATGTGCCCCCACGCGTGCACACACAGAGAGGTATCATGTTGTACCTGTAGTCATGAGAGCAGATTTAATGGCTGAACCGGACCATGTGGGGTGAAAGGATTTGATATAGGCAGCAGCACCAGTAACATGAGGGCAAGACATGGAGGTCCCCGATCGCACATTGTAGTCCACAGGTCTATAGTCCTCTCGGTAAACGGTAGCTGGGACTGGGGGTGCCCATGCACCTAATATAACATTTCCAGGGGCAGCTATATCCGGCTACCATGTCCCAACAGAATTAGCACACAATGTCCTAATTTCGTTAGAAGTGTTTCTGAATTAAAAAAAAAAAAAAGCTTTCAAATTGTTTCTGAATAAAAATGAATTTTCTCTAAATGAACAGCAATTGATGCCTTTGATTTTTTTTCTTAATAATTTTTAATGTTGATTTCACAAGTGCATGGTCGCTCCTAATGTGGCAGTTCACAGGTTTAAGGAAAATTGCACAATACTTTTTTGACAACCGAGCCCTTATGGGCTCAGCCGAGTACCACCAAGTTGTTTGTACAATTTGGTGGTAGTAAAAAATTTCTAAAAAATAGAAAATGTAGGAATGATCTAACATTTTTTTATGCATCATTATTATGTCTTTGATGAAGATTTTTTTTTTATTATTGTAAATCCTTATTTTTATATATTTACCTTTTTTTGGAGTTTTTAAAGGAAATGGTTTGTATAAGGTTGCAACCTTAAACAATCAAAGTAAAGTGCACCTCTAAATTTATTCTCTATGAGTAAAACTCGCTCTAAGAGAAATTTTCGGGTTCCAATTTTTTTTGGGAAACCTATCAACTAGCGTAGAAGAGGAAGAAAGAAAACATACTCGATTCTCAATCTTGATGTGCCCAAAAACACAATCACAAGACTAAGAGGTCCAATTATGGAGAGTGAGATTTCAATTTCAATTCAAAATCCTCTCCTTTTTTTTTTTTTTTTTTGGAAGTAATGATCCGGTGATTGTTAGGTAGATCCCAAAATTTCATATCAAAAAGCTCCTCACAAGTAGCTTTTCTATATGAGGGAATAGTGTATAGTGCTCACATAGGAGCATAGTATACACACTCATATAGATACAAGATGCAAGTACCTTGAGAATCAGGAAAACAGTATAGCACACCACCCCCCCCCTCACATAGGAGCATAGTATATACACTCTACCTTGAGAATCAGGAAACGAGTATTGCACCCCCCCACGCACGCACCTTAATCACTATGTTGTGCTTTCTATTCTCATTAACCACCCCATACTTTCAATAAACTAACTGCTAAACTATTCGGCACCCACCCTAATCACTATGTTGTAATTTCTATTCTCATTAACACCACCCCATACTTTCAATAAACTAACTTCTAAACCATTCGGCAAAAATTGATAGGGTCTTTCTTTCCCACTAAATTACTCAAAAAAACAAAAAGTACCTTGAGAATATCGAGAGAAATGGCATTCGGTCCTCTCAAAGAGTAGGATGTGACCACTGGAGCTGCAACATCCTTCCATGCGTCACTATATAATATGGTCGCAGTGGGATTGCTAAAAAAAATAAAGGAAAAGCAAAAATTAGAAAAGGTGGAATGCATCCTTGCCCTTTCAATTAGAAAAAATGCAACACGGAGTGTACAGTAAAACAAATGCAACAAGAAGAGTACATTATATTTCATGCAGAAGTAGTATTGTACTCTCAACCATCCATTGTAAACAATGATGGTTGAGACGAACCAGTGCTTCATTCAAATCCATCAATGTGTAGATAGTTATTCCCAACCGCCCATTCTTAATGACTAATAGTCATTGAAGCAGCATCAGTTAACCTGTTTCCATGTTGCATGTAGCAGGGTGCATTTATTATGCAATTTGCAGCGATTTAAATGTTGAAATGATGAATTTTTTTAACCAATTTAACAGTTTCTAGAAGTCCATGTAGAAATGAGTACCCTCTTAAAAATCTATTTTTGAGAAGGGTTTTTTTACCTAATTTTTAAAGACATATGATCTCTAACATGGAGATCATGAATATGAAAAAAAAAATCTAACAATTAAAAATTAAAAATAACAGTTTTATAAAAAAAATATTTGGACTGTTAGTTTCAACTGTTTTTAGATGGTCTCCCATTTGCATACATCTTTAAAATGGATGTTTTATACCTCAAAGGATGCAAATGCAAAAATGCATCCCCAACTCATGAAACAATTTTCCTCATATTAATGAGTACTTATAATGAGTGATATGTTAAATGAGTACCATGAGTTTATAAAAATTACTTTATAATAAGTGAAATAAAAATACAAGCGAAATGCACCATGTGTCAGGAAAGGGGCTGGTCGTGATGGTAGCACCTCCTACCTAATTACCGGATTGTGGTTTCCAATCCTACGAACACAACCCGTTGGCATCTTTCAAAAAAAAAAAAAAAGGTAGAGCCTATCTTACCCACTGAATTACCCAAAAAAACAAAAATACAATGTGTTTCTTGCTCACTCTAGTGTGTTGTACAGTGTGATTATGTTATTGTATCATTGCCCTGAAAATTGCTAGAAAAGAGAGAGGGTTCAGTTATAGATAGTTACTCAGAGGATTGTATGTAGTCCAGAATTAGCTTGGCATCAGAGGGGGGAACTGCAGCTGCGGGAATAGGGTAAGTGTAGGATTCATCAGGACTGTAATCGAGCATAATGGTTCCTACGCCTCCAGCCATAAGAATTGCAGAAGTGTCCCACCACATATCGCATAATACAATCTTCCCCTGCACTTTGTTTTCATCCAAGCTATTCGGTGGGTTTTCAAAGAAGCTATTTCGAAAACATAAACTGCAGAGAGAATTTTGCCGTGGTGAGCAATGCAAGAAATGTATGTGGGATGCACCAAAATAGAAAATTTATAGGTACAAAATAAACAGAGAGAGAGAGAGAGATTTGAGAAGTTACTAGAGATAAAATAATGAGAGAGAGAGAGTGATGTAGTTGAGATGTTCGCTCGATCATCTGGAGGATCACGATCGGAAGAAGAAGAAAGGGCTTGTTTAAATTTTTTTTTTAGTCTTAATTTTTCTGTGAATCTTTTTTTCAACTGCGTCAGAGAAAGAAAACAATTAAGTTCAATTTTGAGTTTGGAGTGGTGTAGGGAAAGAATAAGGAAAGAGTGGAACAATTCTTAATAAGATTGCAATAGATGCTACATCCTGAGTTCAAGTCTTACAATTGAATTACTCAATTGAGATTTTAAAAAAAAAGAAAAAAAGATTCAAATCCTGTTAAACTACTCAATTGGGGAAAGAAGAACAAGAAAAAGAGTTCTGCTGCATCAAAATTTTACCTGGCTGCTCTTTTTGAGCTTCCTGCTGATACATTTACTGCATCACCTCCATATATCAATGGAAAGGTAGTCCCATTCATGTTAAATGAATTAATGGAGTGCCCCTGTCACCAGAAAACCATTTGTCCCAATTAAAATTTTTGGAAGCCGAAAAATAAAAGGGACAATATGCTATGCTAGTACTTGGGCTTCCTATAATTTGCTAGCACCTTCCCAACCATCCATGACAACCGAGAGGGGTGGCAATGGGTCATCCTGGCCCTAAAAAACTAGGGTCTGGGCCTCCCAAAAGCTGGGCAGCCACACCTTGAGGGTAGGGCTGGGGCCGGGGCATGGTCAGCCCAATCAGCACCGCCCTAAAAAACTATGGCTTGGGCCATAAAATGTGGCCTGAGGGTTGGGCCTAGGCCACGGCCAGCGCGGTTCGGCCCGGTTTGGCACTTTTTTTCTTTATTTTTCCATTTATTTATTATTTTTTAGTGGATCAAAAGTCGCTCTCTCTATGTCTGTTTGCCACACAGTCACTTAAAAAAACATTATTTATAAGGTGCGGTTTGTATAGAGCTGAGGCTCTAAACAATCAAAGTAAACCACACTGTCAAATAGTGTCAAGAAATGTGGTTGCAATACTGGAAATTATAGAACCAATAGCAGCTTCTCTCTTTGCAAAGGGATGCCAAAAGCATCGATATCAAGAAGGCGGAGCTTTCATCCTGAGCTTCTCATCGATATGAGCATCTAGGATTCTGATAGGGAATCTCTTTGTAGGGAGGGGAAAAGAACATATGTTTGTGGTTTCCTTATCTTTGTTCTGGTTAGAGTATTAATAGAAGACAAGTAAAAGAAAGTAGGAAAGTCCATGGATATAATGGATATCTTACAATAAACACCAAGCCATTTCCAAGAACCACTTGAGTGGCGAATCGTCGGTCGATCGTGCTGGCGGCTACGCTTAAGGACCACGGAGCAACGCTGCTCACAAATGTTGAAAAAGGCGAAACATTACCCCCCGAGGTTGAGGTCAAAATTCCCTTCTTCATAGCATGAAATGATCCGATGGCAACCACATCTTTGAGGTATTCGGTAGGGAACGCGTTGCTAATAGAAATTGAAATAATATCAACTCCATCTGCAATTGCATCATCAAATGCTGCTAAAATGTCACTTGTTTGGCACCCCCACAGCCATGACCATGACCAGCAGACTTTGTAAACAGCAATCCTCGCACCAGGTGCACCGCCACGAGCGGTGCCTTGAGCTAAGCCATAATAAGAAGCATTCTCTACATTACGGCCGGCCGCAACTGAAGTAGTGTGGGTGCCATGGCCCAAGCTGTCTCTAGCAGATTCGTAGTCCCGAGGCTCATACCATTGGTACGCGTTGTAATATCGTGCTCCAATTATTTTACTGCAGTTCCATAAATGGTGCAAGTAACAGTACTCAACAATCTTTCACCTCTCTTTCATTTTTCAGTAAATTTGCCAAATTACATCAAACACAATCTCAGGCAGGGAGTGTTTAATTGGTGAAACTTTTTGGGAGTGGGAGACCCAAGTTCTACAAAATGTCCACTTCGTGTTTGTTGCATAAGCATAGAAGTCATAACATGGAAGTGCACCTTTCCATGCTCAGTGTCCAAGGCCCCTTTTTTGGAAGGGTCAAGTTCCATGCTAAAGCATGGAGGCCGCCTCTTCAATGATTTGTGCAACCACAGCAAACATGCCCTTAGTAATTCAAACAATCTCTCCCTTTCATAAACACCTATACGTATGCTTGCATTCATGCATTGTGAAATGGAAGTATATATTGTCTGCCTCATTAATGTAATATAATATTAAAGGTGTATGATTTATTCATTATAAATGTAGGCAGAGTATGTACATCTCAAGTTCAATGCTAACCAATGCTACGTTTAAAATTCAATGTCTGCCACTCAACTGCAACAAAAAATAAAAAAATAAAAACATGATTCTTATTGGAGAAAGAATTATTTCTGAGGGGTGAAATGCACATTACTTGGTGCAGGTGAAGTTGTCCTTTGACTGGCAGGTCCCTTTGAATCTTTGGGGCGGAGGGGCAAAACCTTCATCACTGAAGCTCTTTGATTCCGGCCAGATTCCTGTCCAAAATTCGCCAACACTGTTTTCAGTGGCATAAACAATAACGGAAAATTTTGAGAAATGACAAGAGCAGTTAAACTTACAGCACTCAAAAGCTAGAAATTTTTTCGAAAGACTAGTTCTTGAACGGACCACCTACATTATGCTCCGTCAGGAGCATAGTTTATTTGTATTCCATCTGTTGGATGACCAACTTGAAAGGATTTTTTCTATATGAAATTTTGGCAACCAACTTCGAATCACTAGGTGATTATTCTCAAACAAAAAAAAAAATTTGAGTTTTCTAATACTTACATCTTACTTTCTAAAATTTGGACGGTTTCTATTCAATCTTGAGACATTATTTTATTCAAGTGCTTACGGGGTGCAATTAGGAAAGTTTTTCATCGAGGTTAATCTATGCGTTAAGGAGGTTAAATTCCCAAAATTTGGGTCCTAAAGCTAATCCTAGGTGAAGTTTTACCTGAGGGAGTAAATAAACAATATACTCCACAGAGAATAAAATATCTTTTGCCTTTTGATGATGATGTGCTAAGAGATAAATATTTCAAAGAAATTCAACAAATTGGAAATGTTTATAGATATACATATAGGGAGAGAGAGAGTTGGAAATTTCATGTGCAAGATATCATTAAAGGACTCAAATTATTTTACAAAATTATTAAAGAGCCCAAAAACAATCATATTTACAGCTACAGGGTAAATTGTTCAAAATTCCCAAATTACCCCCTTTCAAAGTTAAGAACCCACACAATAGGCCCAGTTCACTAACTTAGATCTGCTTTGTGGCCTAAGAAAAATTTAACATTTCACTAACTTAGATCTGCTTTGTGGCCTAAGAAAAAATTAACATGGTTATTTAGGTTAGTAATACAAAAGTTATTTAGGTTAGTAATACAAAACCACTAAATAGCAAAAATACCACTGATTGTTTAGGGTTAATAATATAGAACTCATTTTTCTTAATGAAGGTCATTGTTTTATGGGTGCAGTTGGCATACGGATGCATCCGTAGGTGTAGAGGTAAGGTGCACCTTCAAATTTTATCATGGTATATGATTTTGATGTAAAATGTTCTTAGGATTATCTCAAAATTTATTTTTATATCTAATTATAAAATTTTAAATTTCAAAATGGTTAAAATCAAGTAGATCTATAAATATATGAAAATATTGAAAACGGACGGCGTAGATAATATGTTGTAAAATGCACTATTTCTGAGGCTTAAAATCTTTTTATTTTTTCATAATCATACATCTCGATGTCGAGATGATCAATCAAAAGGTTTTTCAACATTAAAACTACCTTTTCCGATGGATTTTTGAAAAGCATCCGTAGTTCTACGTTATAAGGTCGCATCCTTATATAAACTTTTTTCTTGTTTTATTCCCAACCCTGCAAGGGGTGTTATTAGATTTTGGTTTAGTTATTTAAGTGGGTGAGTACCCTAGTTTGTCCAAGATTCCAGACATGGACGAGAATGGGGCAAAAGGGCCAAAAAAAAAAACAAAGAATATAAGTTTGAAGGCCCACCAACCAACCTGTATCGATCATCCCAATAATTACATCACTTTCACCATTTTCAGGGTAATGGTTGCTCTGAGATTGAGGGAAGCCCATAAAATCCCATGACCTTGTCGTTTGAAGCTGAACCGTCGTCTCAGGGAAGACCGCGGCCACACCATCCATTTCTAAAGTAATAAACCACAATCAATTATCTCTCTTCTTCGCTCTCCCTCTCTCTCAAAGACTTCTCTTTCAGCTCTTTCTCACACACATACACTTTACTTCCATCTCTCTTTCTCTCTCCTCTCTCTCTCTCTCTATCACACACATACACTTTACTTCATCTCTTTCTCTCTCTCTCTCTCTCTCTCTCTCTCTCTCACCTGATACGATTTGGGCCTCTTCTTCGGAAAGCCTAGCTGCAAAACCATTAAAACTTCTTCCATAACTGTAAAATAAAGCCTCTTTGGCTGCATCCTTACTGCAAGGGTCCATTCAAACTATGCACATTTAGTAGAGCTCAAAACTTACACATTGAGAGAGAGAGAGAGAGAGAGAGAGAGAGAGAGAGATTTATAACCTTCCCAGCACACTCTCTAGCATGCCATGGTGTAATGTTGAGAGGGATAATTCTTGTCCCACAGGTCGCTCCCCCATATACACAATGTAAACCTTCATAGAAAGGGCAGAAAAAGAAGAATAAATGAAAATTAAAAAGGAATTGATATTTTCTTATTTTACTATTCCTTATCTCAAGTCCTTGACACCGAGGCGATCACATTTATAGAAAAGAATAGGAAAATTGTTTCATGCGGGCTGGACCGCTTTTCTACATATGTAGTCCAAAAATATAAAGCATCCATCTTAAAAATGGACGTAAATATGTGGTCTATCTAAAAACAATTGAAACTAACAGTCTAAATATTTTTTATTAGAATTATTATATCTAATTTATAAAATTTATTTATTTATTCATATTCATGATCTCCCTCTTAAAGATTACATATCCTTAAAGTCCAAAAATCCATCTCAAAAATATATTTATTAAGGAACCCGCATTTCTACATGTGCAGGTTTGGCTCGCATGCTAACCTCGTCCAAGAGAATAACAAGCAGCATTACTTCCAACTTTTCTAACAACATTTAACCAAGAGAATAACAAGCAGCATTACTTCCAACTTTTCTAACAAAATTTAAGATTGTAGTGCCTTTTCCCATGCGTAAAATTTAAATATGTCTATTTTGGTAAGAATATGCTCTTTATTTCCACTTTTCTTAATTTAAACACTTAATGGATGTCCTGCAATTATGGACATTAATGGGGCAGGTGGCCCAACCTTAAAAACCTTAAAAAACTAGGGTGTGGACCACCAAATTTATCTTGAGGGTAAGGACAGACTGGCCCAAGGCCAAGGCCACAACAAGGCCGGACCAGTTTAGCCTGCCAGCCCTCTTTTTTTTTTTTCTTTTATCTAGCCCGGCCCAACCCTGATAGGGCTAGGCCTAGGCCTACACCAGGCTCGGTCATGGTACTATGGGGACCAGAGGTTACGTGGCCTATTGCCAGCCCTACCTACAATCTTATCACACTTATCAAACATAGCTTTACACTTACTCTCCCAGGCAAACGAGCACGTTTAGAAAGATTTTTTCAATGAAAATTTTTGGGATCCTCTTTAAAATCCAGATGAGTTTTTTCAAAAGAAAGATGAATTTTGAGCTCCTAAATGCTTGGATTCAATTTCACAAAAATCAAATAATCTCTATCCAATCCTAGAATATATATGTTCAAGTACTTAGAGTATGATTCTTTTTTAAAAAAAAAACAAGCTTTCTAGTTTGAGGAAGTTGCATCCTCAAGCTTTCTAGTTTGAGGAAATTGCATCCTCAAACTTTGGGGTCGCAAAAATACTCCCAATTGGGCTTTACCCGAGGGAACGAATGGATGTTGTGCTCCCTCAGGAGCATATAATCTATTGCTATTTTATGCCAAAAAAATAAGTGCCCTCTAGGTTTTTTATGTTGATCTAAAACTAGAAAATATGAGAGAGAGACATGCATTACCGGTTTTCCGACATCAAAAGGCGGATTAGCATAGCCCTTGATAGAGAAAAATGCAAAAACAAGGGCAAAGATGAGTCTGAATAAGGCCATTGTTAGTAACAATTTGTTAACCACAACCCAATATGTGAAGTGCCCATCTCAATATATACGTAAAAGAGAAAAACACTGTTTTTGAGATGAAGTGAAACAAGGTTACGATCAAACCAAAGTGCATATTTTGGAGCTTTAGAGACAGCAAAAGTATGCCTACTATCAAAACTCAAAAACTTAACGATGATAATGCGGAGGATCTAAGGGCCGGCCTCCACCAATTTAACCCTTCTTTTATGGTATAGATTTAAATAGGAGGCTTTTTCAATCAGCCCTTCATGATACTGCCGGCGTATTTCGATCTATATAGAGAGAGAGATCATTGAGCACTACTCAAAAGAATAGTACCAAGGAATAATTAGTTAAGGTGCATTCCTAAGTAGGTATGTTGATTCATTAAAGGGTGTGATTTCTATAATGTTGCAACCTTAAACAATCCAATTAAAGCGCACCTCCAAATTTTATCATAACATGTAATTTTGGTGTAAAAAATTCTTATAGATTTTTCGCAGTTCCTATAAATCTTAATGACACTTCCTATAGATCTTAAGGAAACTTCCTTATATATAGATCACTAGAATTTCTTGCTTCCTTAGAAAGTACCCTTAGAAAACACCCTTTCTCCTTCTATCTAAATACTAGAATACTTTTTTTCAATATTTAAAGAAAACCTGTAAGTGGTGATTTTGGCTACCATCAAATCTAGCAAATGACATATCACCCCCAATTTCACTTCTAACAATTAAAGAGGATTACGACCTTCTTGTACCTAAATAAGTGAACTAATTGGATATTCTTCTCCAAACAAAATGAAAGGAATATTCCTCAGGAAATCCTTGGAACTCAAGCCTATATAAATCCCCTTGATCCCCCTTAAAAAATAGTTAGAAATTCGTCCAAAAATCCTTAAAAAAATACTGAAAACCCAAAATCCCCTAAACCCTCTAGAAAATTAAAAAACAAAGCCTAAGAAATTAGAAAAAAATCTTAGAAAGCCAATGAAGAGGAATTTCATCCAAAATACCTAAAAAATAGGAAAAATCCAAAAACCTCTAAACAATTAAAGAAAAACCCTAAAGAGCCTTAGGCTAGAGATCTTAAACCTTGATCCTCTCAAAACTGCTCATCCTAGGAATAAGTTCTTCTGGATCCAAATCAAAACCTTGAAATCATGCTTCAAAAAAGTAAGAAAAGGCATCAAAAGGTGTAAATCAATCTAGGGTCCTGATACGGGCCCTAACTCCGGATTTCTCAGCTATGTCCTCTTTTTCTCTCCTTTATTTTTGTGTATTAATTTCTTCTTTGAGTTTACTATTTATTTTATTTTTTTGTAATTTTTTATTTTTAGATTTAGTTAAATTTTAGAAGATTTTTAAAGTCTATAAAGTGAACATGGGGCATGATATGTGTCGAGTGAAGCGCGTCCTGAATTGGTACGCCGATTAAGGCATGCTCCAAGTGGAGGGGTGAGGTGCCCCTAAGGAGTCAAGTGGTGAGCACAGGACATGACTAGTGCCTAGTGATGTGCACCTCGAGTTGGCGGTCCGACCGGATGGCTTAGTCAAAGTGAAGCAGCGAGGTACCCTTAAGAGGTCAAGTAGTTAGGTTGAGCACGAGGTACAGTCCATGCCAAGCAGGGCGCACTCGAAACCCAGGGTGGCTTGTTCAAAGCACAGTTAGGGCTAGGGCTCAAGTGATCCTCGAGTTTTTTTTTTTTTTTTCCCGATAAGAAAATAAAAACCAGAAGTGCATGAAAGCAAAACAAACTGATCCAGACTATTAAAAAAAAGAACAAAAATATTTGCGGTCTCTAGGTGCCAGCGAGGGTACTAACAGAGTCAAAGCTAGTAGTAGCCTCGCTGGGGTCTTTTTCCACTAGGAACAACGTAGACACTCTAGTATCAGCATGGGAAGCACCGGCATCAATGATGGTGTTCACAACGCCCAAATTGACACTCCACAACACCAGGACAGAGACAACGAAATGAATTGAAAGAAAACAGGGGAGTTCGGGACCTCGAGTGATCAACACTACTAGCAACAGTGTCAATGTTGCTACCAGTTTCACTAGCCAAAAATCCTCAGGATCCCAAAAAATCTAAAAGACAGAAAAGGAGAAAACAAAGAAACCAGGCCAAAGAAGGGGGATGCAGTTAAGGAAGAGAGTAGGTGATGCTACTGGTCATTCTTGTCCACATGTTCCAAACCCTGATTGGTCAGAAAAGGCCCCAAAACAACACTATACGAACTTCTACCTGATGGCAACCCTTTAGGACAAAGTCCGGACTTCAGTAGTTTTGCAATATCAAAAGCTTAACTAACCCCACGGTGGGAATCAGACTGTTTATACTCGAAGATTTTGATAGGGAACATGGCCCTCACCTTGTTTTTCAGGAATAAACTCATCAAAAGGGGTTTCGATAGATAATAGGTACTGTTAAATTACGATTTGGGCAAGAGACTATCCTCGCTCGGGGTGCCAGTAGTACGGGCTTCTAATATGGCTAAACTAAAAGTTTGCAAGAAGTTTATGAAATAGGGGTTTCGAGAAGAGGGAAAGGGGTTTCAAAACAGTTTTAGAAACAACCAAAAAATGCAATGACTTAAATGAAATGGAGGTGTACCTTGACCCAGACCCCCAGACACAACACCCGAAGTTTGTCCCACTTAAGGATCAGTTCGGGTGCGCTATTTTCACTTAGTCACTTCAAGGTCCATCGAGCGAGGTGATCGAAGGCTAATGGGCTTGAATAGTCTAGGAAGTACGAGGCTTAAGTGTTTAGGCGTGTTAGGCGGAGGTTTGAAGCTACAGGTCTAGGGATAATGCAGGTTTAGCAGGGTTCAGTATTAGTGCGGCAGAATATATGCATAGATTTTAGAATTCAAATCCCAAATAAGGGTATTCGACCTCATATTTATAGACAAGTGTCTCATCTAATCACCGTCGATAACTAGGATCAAATATGGGCCATTAATCTCTATGGCAACTACTAGCCTCTTTCAACAACATTAGCATTATCATTGGCCCATTATGATTACGGGATGCGTAACACGCAACATCTAATTTTACGACTTGGGCAGTGGCATGTAAGAAGTATAACGACATTGTAACCATCATTAACTTTCACCGGGAGTATCTTTGAGTGAAATCTAGGCAAAACACTAGTGGCACTAGTGTTGACACAAATTGCTATATTGTTGAGGTAATGATGACCTTCTTCAGCCGCCATCTGGCTGTCTCGTATTCTGTCATTGGGCGGTGGTTTGGGCCAATCAGAAGTAGTTGCTACTGGTATCAGTGTCGATGAGAGTAGCACCCTCGTTACAGGTAATGATGGAAAATCTAATATTCAATCTACGCAATCCGATGTCAGGTGATTGGTGGCATTTTCAGCCAATCAGAAGCCGATGTGGCTGACAATGGCATCAAGAATACTACTTGTATTGTCACCTATAATCATCACTTTTCAATTTCCGCATTCCGAGGTATCAGTTGACGTGTGAATTCGGTGATTCGAGCCACCTCCTATGCAACACGGCTTCAAATAGATTTGACATTGGAGCTATTGTAGGCAAGGGTTTCCGACGACCTTATCCCTTTCGTTGGCGCTTCTTCCAAAGTAGTCGCTTCCATTCTGGGTCTTCTTTGATTCAAGGCTGTCTATTTAGAATTTATTCTTATCTTGGGGCCATTTTTGGCATGTCAGAGTATTTTTCAAAGTTCCAGACTCTATCGAGTGGTCTAATTACTAGTGTACAATTCTTGGGGTTATAGATGGTTCAGGTTTTAAGATAGTTGCCCCAGGGATACTTTGGTTTTTCTACAGTTTTTTTAATCGGGGTGTCTACAATCAGGCATCCATTTTAACGGCCTGCAAATCCATTTTCACCTTGGACTGTAAAATTTGGAGCTTCAAAAGTGGTGATATCTTGCAAATATATGAAGATTCGAAATGGAGGGTCTAGAAAAGTTGTGCAAGATGAACCAATTTTAAAGCTTGTAATCCATTTTTTTTCAAATTCATGATGATCTAGGTGGGGATTATAGATTTGTAGAGTTTTAGTGTTGGATCTAGTTTTTAAAATTTTCTAAAATTTTTAAGTGCCAGATTTAGCTCTTTCACGCTCGTGTGTGCACGAAAGAAGAGGTGATGACATCAAGCACTAAAATACTTTCATACTAACCAAGTTTCGAAAATGATTGTTATAAGGGGACTGGTTAGGGCTGGCCCAGGTCCTTGGGCCCTAACCCAGTTCAAGCTGGATTGAGCCTAGTGGAAAGTAAAAAACAAAAAACAAACTTACGGTAGAATCGATTTGAGCCGGGCCAACCATGGGCCTTTCCCTAATCCCGTCGAGGTGGCCAAGCGTGGGCTTGACCTCGGGCAAAATTTTATGGCCCTAGCCCTAGTTTTTCAAAGTTGGGTCTATCAAGCCAGGTTATCTAGTCCATTGCCAACCCTAACGGTTATAAGGGTCATTGTAAAGGAAACATGTGAGCTTAGTGATAGCCCTCCCTATATTTTAAAAAAATGGTCAGTCATATTATGGCCTTTGTACACATAACAAAGAAGGTTTCTTAGGGAACAAATAAGAAAGATAACTTACAAGTGATAAGGATAGACATAATAATTATCCTTTTTAGTGGCGATCCCTTGGAGGTTATAGGAAAGTGTTCTCCATGAGAGAAAGATGGGTTTCCAAGAAAGAGTGGGTTTCCAAGAAAGAGAGGTATGACAGTCTAATATAAGGTGATCAATTCCCATAAAGCTTTGGTTTGTTTCACTTTCTACATTTAGAGATAAGAAATCTCTTGGTTGCTCTTGTGATTAACTTTCTATTAATTATATGGCACTGGGAAATAGGATGGTTAATTAGCATTGTTTTCCAATTGAGATGGTGGACTTAGTAAGGAAAGTCGGTCGGGGTTTTACGGATGTTTAGAGAGTAAGTTCTTGTAACCCAAAGCTGTTATTTTTATTAATAGTTGAGATTTTTTTGGGTAATTCACTGGAGATGACGAACCTCTGCCCGTTTTTTAAATCGTTAGTGGTTTTTTAATGTGTTAGGTGAGAGTGAAAGCCTAGTCCTTAACCGTTGGGGTATCCCCTTCTAAAAACAAAAGATTCTCAAGGACCCAACAAAATAGGCCTTAGCTGTGAGCTTATATAAAGGCCATGGGCAACAAGCAACGGTGCAAAACACGGTATGCATAACAAATAACGGCTATTACCTTTATAATGGTCGTTATATAATGGCTTAACGCCCTTTATATTAGGTTTCTCTCCAAAATGAAAATAGAGGTTACCAACAATAGTTACGAAGGCCATTGTATTGAATATAAATTAATATAACCGTTGTTATAACAGATATTAGGAAAAATATGGCCTCATAATTAAAAAGCCGGATATTTCTGAAATAATATCCAGCTTCTTTCTCTTGTTTTTACCTTAAATTTCCGTTTTTTCCATTTTTATTCATTTCTCCGATTCTTTGGTATAACGGATCGGTTTCCCTTGACGACAGCCGTTCCCATCATAAAACATGAACTAACCTACCCCATTTCGTTATGTTATGACCGTTTTATAAACCTTGAAATTAACCGCATATAAATTTCATCAAAATAGGTGGCGAGTCTGTCATTTTAATAGAACTACCTAAGTTTCAATTTGCCGGAAATAACGCCCGATATTTGTAAAAAGTCCATTCTTTTAATACCCGGTCTTTTTACCCAGATCGTCAAGCTAAATCGGAAATCAGCCAAATCGTCAATCTAAATCGGGAATCAGCCAAAACTGAACCGCTTTCTATCTAAATCGGGAATCAACCAAAACTGATCTAAATCGAGAATAAGCCAAAACCGAACTGCTTTTTAGATGGTATGGGTCTTGACCCTTCTTTTTTTTTTAAGTTTATCTAATATTTTTTTTTATCTCTCAAAATCCAACGCCCCCCCAAAAATCTATGTTTTAATTTTTTTTATTTTTAATATTTTTTAGAACATCGATTCAGACCCATTTGGACCGTTGATCCAACAATCTTACATGGATCTATGGGGTGAATGATCCACCACAATGATTCAATTTTAAAATCATGAAAAAACTAAAAACCCATAGCCATTGGCGCTTAAAAATAAAAATAAAAATAAAAAATTTATATAATGTGTTAGCTTCATATTATTAAAGTGAGGCACACCAAAAAAAACTCATAAGAAGAAGTAGTTCTAATTATCGAAAATCCTGAAATTGATCATTTCAACCTCAAGATATATGTATATGAAGAAAAAATATTTCAATTTATCAAAATAGTGCATGTTATAGTGCATTATTTGGACCTTCTTATTTCAAAAATTTTAATTGTTTATAGATCTTCTTAATATTCACCCTTGTCAAAGCTTTAGATTTCAAAATTAGGGTGACAATAAATTTTCATACCATTACAATACTGTCCGGCACAAAAATGGTGTGGTTTTGAGGTGTGCCTCTAAGGGTGGCAATGTGCCTGGCGTGGGCCGAGCCAGAATAGGGCCATCCCATGCCCGACCTAGCCCTATTGGGGCCGGCCCCAAACAAAATGACAAAAAAGAACGAGAATTAAAAATAAATGAAAAAAATAGGAGAAAAAATCGGGTTGGGTCGGGCCGGGTCTAACAAGGCAGGCACCAGGCCTAGTGTGGCCCTTAGGCCACCGTTTGCGGGACAGGTCCTGCCCTTTTAAGGCCGGGCCATCAGTCCCATTGCCAGCCTATTGCCTCACTTCGATCGTTTCGAGGCTGAGGCCCTGTACAAACCTCATCCATTACAAAAAATAATGACAAAAGAGGCTCCATTAAACTTTGTAGATATGCACAAACAAAACCACCCAACGGAAACCAGGGACAATTTACCTCTAGAGAAACCAGACCACAAAACCAGCTTCCCCTGCAAGCACTAAACCAATGCTATGCACACCTTACCTGAAACCCAAAACCGCCTTCCTCTCGAACCAAACCACCAAAAAACCCAGAAGCAACGACCCCCTCATTTGGTGAAGAAAGCAGCCAAAACCATTAAGAAAACAACCAAAACACATCGAAAAAAAAAAAAGGAAATAATTTACATCTGAAAAAAACCCATTAACAAAAACAGAGAAGAACACCAAACAAAAGCCATATACATCTCATATACAGAGACCCATAACAATAAAACCACCTTTCTTCCACGAAAAACCAGAAATCTCCTCTTTAATTAACATAAAAAGGCTGCCAAAACCGCCTGTTCAGTCATAGTATTTCCCTACTTGGTAGAAAGAGAAGGTCTTCTCTTAAAATCCATCTTTGAGGTTGACTCTAAACCAGAGGAACCATCTTTTCGTGAATTTCCATCGGTCTCCTCTTGTATGGTCTCGAGCCTGAGGTCGAAGCTGGGCCGTCGATCCACCTTGATGATCCGGGGTGGGGCGGTCTCCATCGTCTGACGCGTGGCACCAAGCACCTTAGCCATGGCTTCTTCCTCTTCTTCTTCTTTCTTTGTTATGGGGCTTTGGTGAGGGCTTACAAGTAGAGGAAGATATAGAGGCCCCAATAGATAAGAACACCAGAGAAGTCTTTTTTTTTTTAATAGAAATATATTTTTTGTAGTGTTATCCTTTAATAGAAAAATAGAAATAACAAAAAACCCACAAAAAGGCGAATAGATAGGAAGAGGTGATGTTCCATTCGTCTTTTTAAGCTATTGGGAATAAGTACCCACATCAAAATATTCCAAACCTTTGATTTTATTCCCTGTTTTAGGTCTTTTAGTTTTATTCTTTTAGTTTTGCCAGTTACTCCGATGGGTGCATGCTATGCATCCTCTATCAAGAAAAAAAGTTGGAGTCTTCTTCAGTTTATTTTATTTTTTTGGAAAAATTTTATATAGAGCCAAGTCTCTAAACAATCAAATTAGAGTGTACCTCAAAAATTTTACTAGATTTTGATGTCCAAATATTCTCAAATCGATCATCTTAACATCAAGATGCATGGAAATGAATAGAATATTCTTTTAAAAATTAGAACAAATATGGGCTTTGGTGAGAAGTGGATGAACTAGATTTATGGGTGCTTATCCTCTCCACATTTTTTTGTTATGTTCAAAAGAAGCCCGACTGGTGTTTTTGGAGCCTCGCGGGGGCTTCGTCAAGGTGATCCCTTGTCCCCTTTTCTGTTCACCATTTATGTATAGTGTTTCAGTCGTTTTGTACGAAATGTTGA